ATTGTAATTGTAACCTAGAATGCTTTATAAGTATTAACACCAAAAGTTGAATGCTAACTAAAAATCATCAATTATGATTGCATAGCTACCTTATTATTGTAGTAACTAAAACATGGATAGATTCTGCGTTTCCTGTATTTATTTTCACAGTAAATTCTATAAGTCTAAAATAAGAATTAAAAATTACTATCTTATCCACCCAAAGCATAGACCAACAGTAACACTAATATGTGCAATTTTTAATTATGAAGATGTTATTCAGCTAATTTAACTAAAATCTAATGAATTATTTATAGCTAGTGATGGTCTTGCTGTCATGAGATAGACAAGATAATATTAATCTATTTTACGGTGTTACCTTACCGTTAGGATAGTGTAATAGTACGGTAATAGCCAATAGGGGCAATATCCATATTTGTAATGGTAGGTAAGATAAGTAATACCTTAACGAGGATATTATTTGTGATAGTTTACTAGATACTTGGTATTGATTGTTGTTATGTGTATAGTAGTGTAATGGTTTAAGCTCTAGCTAATGATAGTTGAACTAGACAACATACGTACTTAGATTGAGATTAAGTGTGAGTAATAGATTAAAAATACTTACTGATAGAAAAGCAATGTAAGGAGCATCTCAGGTCGAGATGTCTCTCCTAATAAGGTTTCATAATAATACTGTAGTCGTTTACAAATTGGACAGTTCCTATGTAAACAGGAATATTTGAGTAGAGTTGCATGGTGAAAAGTTATGAAAATGTCTATGCTAATAAAAGTTTTATCTTTACGGTACTTTAAAGGGTGTGCTTAACGCTTATTAAAAGAGCGTTTTAAGTCAGTCGTTACTTATAGACTTATACTGCATGTTTCATAGTCGCAGAGTTTAAATTCTGACAATCTGTCAGATAATTACTTTCGAAATTATGATAATGAAATGATATTAACACTGCAAAAATAGATTGTACATCTTAGAATAATGGAAGTAGCAACTTTACGTCAATAACAATGATATATTAAATTATTTAAAAGGTATGATAAAAAGGTCAAATTTTTTTAATACCGTCTTCAATTACTTGATATTATTTGTAGCGAGGTAGCCATAGCAGTAGCATTTTAATTTCACTCAAACAATGAAGTATTTATCGAGTATATCTAATTCGCCAAGAAGACCTTTGTGATATGTGACCGTTACAACATGCAACAAACATGATAAAGGCTAAATATTAGTCATTATGCAGTATCAAGCTAGCATAGTAATACCTTTCAATTCATTTATTTAATGGTCATCAGAATATAAATTACATTAAACTTTTCCATTATTCCCACTCATGATGACTTCTATAGTAGTACTCAGGAGCAATAATTAGCATATTACTCGTTGATATTATGAACTTTTTTAGTTATCATTAATTGCATGAAAGGTATATTTGAAATTTAATATCCGGACTGTATTTAGATAGAGACTAAATCAAGCATTATTCACATTAGATATAAAAAACCGTAATGATCTTGCTTTGTTGCCATCTTTGACATTTGCGCTGGGGCTTTATATAAATTGTTACATTCGGCTTTAGTAGCCTTATTAAGAAATAGTGATAACAATATATCATTTTGCCTATTAGACGTTAGGCATTAATTATATTAAGCTGAATATTTTTTATTCCGATCCTAACAATAGATGTTACCTTAACTCCACGAAAGTGTCTTATACTGGAAATAAAGATAACATAAATTATATGAATGTCCGAAATAGATTTCCATGTCAATACTATACCAAATAATTGAAATTTTACAGCTATGTTTTAGTATATTTTTATTCACATTTTCACCTAACATCCCTTGATTATCGCCTGTAGAAAAATATTTACTCGCACTCATCCTATCGCTGTTTATTAAGCTTTTTAACTTGCTTACAAAATATAATTTTATAGTTCTGTTGCTGATGAAAAGTTATATGGTAATACTTGAATAGCATTATGACACTTCCTACATTATAGCTTAATAAAAGTTTCATGCGAAAATTATAGACTTAACGATATATACATTTTGAGAGATGCCATCAGTTGATAGGTTTCTTGTAAATCTAAATTTGAGGTCGAGACTTGGTATCGATAATAATCATAAATATAAAGGAAGGAAATACTTCCAAATAAGGATTCATAAATAAAAGCTCTAGAGTAAGAGAGGTCGATCAAAATTTATTTCCGTCGCAGAACTTAAGATCGAAATTCTACCTTTGGTGATATTCATATTCTTACATTAAATAATATATAAACTGCTATTATGATCTTGCTTCGACATTGATGAATCAAAGTTGTTTTATAAAATACCAAATTTAAGTTAATGTGTCTATTGCCAAAGAAGGCAAACTTTAGTAAGTTTGATGTTGATGGTATCAAACATAAAGTGGTCGAAATATTTTAATAATATCATGATGATTTTTCTTCTATTACGATTAATATGCATATTATAATAATAAGCATATGCAATGTAACTTAGTATTGTGATTGTAGACTGTTAGCCATGTGTAGTATAATGTACGGGAGATATTTATCCTAGGATATATTTGGTAGCCATAACTATATCCTGTAGTGGTATAGACTCTATGCTAGAGTACAGATGACTATATATACAGTAAGGTGTTGAGTTACTAATAAGGTTATAGGTAAAAATAGAACTGTAAATCATATATTAGGATATAGTTAATTCATTGTACTTTGGCTGGTGTGAATAATGTCTACGTAAATACTGTAGTCGTATCCATATCGGATTAATGATGGTCCGCAGTAGAATAGTCTTACTAAGAATAATTTAACTATGTGTAAAATAAGGTAAAAGGTTGCCATGCGGATTGTAGCTGCGAATGCTACGAAAAATATAAAAGCATGCAACCTTAGATTATTCTGTCAGTTCGTTGTAGAAGTCTTTAGTAGTAGTATTCGGCTAGAGTAGAGCTGTGTGTAGTTAATCTTTGTATAAGATTCAATAAAGCCCTTATTTTTCTAAAATTTGGAATTTCGTGATCGGTATATATCACAGTATGCATGATAAAATAGATGACGATAACTGATTCAAATAATGGAACTGCGTAATACAAAACTGGACAATGACCACATCAAAATGAAATTCTAAAGCTGATTTCATTATGGTTTCATAATGTTTTCATTCTTCCTATGCCCACTCAAGATTATGACAGCTTGATTCGAAATTTTACTTTCATGATTATAATTGATATGAAATAATGCTATTCGCTATAGTAACGCAAAAATTTACAATCCTTGGATACTGTATTTTTCATAAACAAAGGACTACAGACTTTCATCTGTTCCTAGTAAAATTGATATCCGGCTGCCCCATCGTAAATTCCTTCTACATCTTCCTGAAAATCGATGAAAACTCATTTTATTGATCTTAAACTTCATTAAGGGCTTGAAATGCATAAAATGTCTCCCTTTCATATGTTCGAATATATCTGAACGAGTACTTTCAGAAAATTTAATCTATTTCTATAAGACTCAGATGCTATAATTTATGGCCATCTTTTACTTTTATCACCAAAATGAAACTATCTGCATTTTTGATGCACTCATCTGATAAGCAAATTATAATCAGATAATTTCTATAACTTATTGGACAAATAATGCTGATCCATATGATAATTTTTAAATGACAGCGTAACCTCAGTTAATTAAAATTATTATTTTATTAACTTCAAGTAGCTGGACAGCTATGATTGAAAAAATTTACCGATTTACTCAAGAAATTGCGAGGACAATAATTATATGATGGGGAAGTTACTAATGCTCTAGACCGGATATGAATGCGTTAAGTAAAATACTACCTTTGAAATTTATTTACTTCAGAATTGCTTTTGTAAGTAAGAGTACATAGCGATTTCCATAGGTAAAAGTTCGATGAAAAACTTTACTTTATAAAACAATGGATTCTTTTATGAAATATTAGTTGTAACAAAGCTACCATATTTTAGATAGATGTTATCCCTGGGCTTGCATGAAAATCTAATTGTTTTGTTGATATGTGTTTATTAGCGAATATTTAGCAGAAGATCTTTTATTACGTAGGTAATAAGAAATATTACATTTTTTGGATTTGCTTCTCAAGGTTCAATTATTTTGAGTAAATGCTACCACGGGTTTATCTTTATTTCCTTCAATAAGTGGACAATGTTATTATATGAATTAATTTCCTTTTGTTTAGTAAGCTAGACATTTATTGAATTATATTGAATAAATTTTGCTACCGCTTTCTGTGAATAACTAAAGCTGATTGATACAAAAATTGGTCGTATTTTTCTAGTGATGAAAGGCAGCTTAAGGCTAGATTTATTAATTCAAGAAGTTAAATATTATTCTAATGATAATGTAAAATTAATTGATTCCTTTTAAATGATACATCATTGAATTCAGTAAATTTAAGCAGTCATTTAATTTCATGAAATAGAATTCTTACTGACACAGAAACAGATTCTTTTGTGAGCTTTATTTAAGTCATTAAAGCTGCGATATTAATACTGCAACCAACCCAAAATCGAAATTTTCATACACGTAGAATGTCAATTGAATTGCTAACTGCCTTGTAAATAATTCGTTTGATTATCGTTGACAGGTATTAAATCTATATTACTGATGAAAAGACACCGATAAAATGATGTCTTGATGTTTATGACTACGTAATTTAGTTTCGCAATGACGTCGATTAATGAATTAATTTTGAGGCAGTGGCGACTTATGATTGGAATATTCCAATTTTATGTTATTCATATAGAATTTTTTTGAAATGGTTTTGTGGAGAAGTGTCAGTAGTAAGCAATTTTAAATAATTGTAAACTTGTGTAATGATTGCTCGTAAAATTCTTTAATATCAATTCATTTAGTTACAAGCTCAGGGATAGCTCGAATGGTTAATGGAAAACTTGAGCCGACTTTTATTAGCAAGCTAAGCAATAAAATATTTGTTTAGTACCAAGTAATCTATTGGATAAAATGGCCTTTAATTCAACATTTTGCTTGAACACAACGGAATTAAGCGATGACTACGATGCAAATTCAACATCGACAATTTTAGAAATGCCTATTCCGCTAATTTTTTTTCAGTGCAAATTATTGGCTGATAGCACTGTTGGTTTAATAAGCTGCTTTTTGAACAGTTTTATCATTTATGTTATTAAATATAAAGCTGATACTACAATACCTGTATTTTTTGCTTTAGCAAACCTTGCTATAGCTAATATCTTATTAGCCACCACGTTGTCGCTTGCAGACTTTATAACACTATTGCAATATCGTTCTATTACTTTAATACCTTGGGTCAGTTATACCGTATGCGGTTTCTTGATTCCTCTTGCTATTACGGCTAATGTAGTTATAAATGGTAGTTTAATATTTATTAGCATTGCTCGCTATCAAAAAGTTAAACATTCCGAAGTCCATGGTCGACGCCTTGCAAATCGGCAGGTTATATTAGTTTTAATCCTTTTGTGGTGTATTGGTGTAGTTTGGGCTATTCCATCAGCGAAATCGAATGTTAATCAACAATCCATTTTCCATTTGTGCGATCTACTAACAGTAGATCGAACACAGCAAAGTTTTTTACTCATTTCATGCTCTTTAATAGTTGTGTTACCTGCAATTATCACGACTTACTGCCATTACAGAATATCAGTCCACCTTAGCAGCACTATCTCTATCTCATCTATGACAAATTCTACCATTACCAACCATCTAGAGAAACAGAACTCATCATTTCATGCAGGGTTCCAACGAAAAAAAGATATTATCAAAATGCTTCGTAAACTATCTCTACTTCAATTTTTACTTAATGTAACATGGCTAATTTCTATTTCTATGACTGTGTTGGGCAATCAACACTTTCACAAAAATATTACCAGTATCTGCTTTATTATACAAAATTTGGCAATGTTAATAGCCGGTATTACCAGCCCTGTCATTCATATTAATTATATTCAACGTTTTCGTGAACCTTTACATTCCTTTTTTTTACCTTTACGACGTTACATCAGCCGATGTAATGAAGCAGATCGTGCTGATCAAACTTTCTCATTACGGATAAGTAAGTTTCAAATGATAAGATTATTATCAGCTATTACCTAATTTATTCCTATGTAATTTTTTAATTAATAACTTAATCACAATAGTATTACAGTTCTTCTCTTATAAGTCTTTGTTTTAATTAGAGTAATATTTGCTGCATCAGCTAAGAATGAAAATTAAATTCCTTAAATGTGGTCCAATTTTGTTAATTTATATAGGATAGCAGCATAGGAAGAGTTTAGGCCTTATTACAGAACCCCAGGTTGAAGTAACTGGCTTTGATGATCAATTTAATTACGAGCCACAATTTTGTTGCAGCTTTAGTTTAAAATTACGACAGTAAATATTTTTATCTCTTTAATAGAAATCTGATTTATTTCAATCTCTTCCTAAATCAGTAAAGATTATTGCGATGAAATTACAAAAAATAGTAAATGAAAATCGTTATTCAAGACCGATAAGTAAAATGTATTAGCATGTGTATTTAACGTGCTGTACTAAAGTGGATAAAATTATTTCATATTTTATCTATTATTAGATTTAATTAGCATGCTCATACATTGCTACTTTGATCTTTGTAATAGGTCTCTAATTAATATTATTAATGCAGTACTATTGAAAAATAAATCTATGAAAGTAACTCATGTTGATATTCATAGTCTATAAGGGCCGCTATTCTTTTTACTACATTAAATTAGAAGGCAGTTTCTGATATTACATAATTCCTGTGCAAGAGTAGATTGATGTATCTCGAAACTTGCGTAGGTCAAAGAACGCAGTAAATCAGTAACAGATAATTTTCTTCACTTATTCAACATAGCATACTAATTTAAAGCTGTGGTTGCATTTCTATAAGATATTTTGCAACTCTTATATGATTGCAGAAAGAAATTTATGGACTCTATCTTTAATGACATTTCAATGCTAACTTATTTAAATAATCTTTGGATTAATTAATTTATCATGCTTAACTTTACTGGTAAGTTTATTTAATTAAAAATTCCATGAAGCCAATTGATCGTGACGTTTATAACGATTAATCAGCTTACATTCTTGCTGTTGAGTAAATTCTAGACAGATAAACTCAATCATAACCTTAAGATATAGGACAGTCATTGTCCTGCCGAGGTTCATTCAAATAATCAACTCTGTTTTATTATTTAATACAAGAATAAAATTTAGTTTAAACCATGGCAGTCATTTGTACTTATTCTTTCATACTATTCGTAAATTATGCGAAATTCTTTCAAATGTCCAACTTGATGACATAAAAACACAAACGACACTCTGACCTGATGCAATCGGGTACCATCTGTGCATAGCTTATAATTCTGAAATTTCATTCAGTACTTGTTAGTAGCATCTTATGAGCTTCTTAAAAGTTTATAAATTCTCCTCAATCAGAAATTATCAGAACACTCCCGGTATGAAACTCTAAATCTAGAATCTAAATCCAGATGTTGGATCCAAGAAATCGCTCTAGCGCCCATAGAATGGAATTCAATCGCATCCCATAATGCAACATCTGAAGGATAATAAAAACTGAAACTTACTATACTGTTTCTATTCTAAAACTGCCATATCTAATAAAAAGGATGGCTTTTCTACTCAGCAAAGTTGTGGTGCTGTGTAAAACTAACATGGATTGATTTAATTCTTTAAAAAGCCATTTAGATTAAATTCAATAGAATAGGATTGGGTACCATTCTTAAATTAAATAATCGGCTAGAAATTGATCAGCTAGATATACTTCATGGCCGACATTGTATCAACCCTGAACATAAAATCACTTTCGGTTTCTCCAGTCCTTCGCCAATACTATGCAGTTCATAAGGAGATCTTGTAATACAGAAATAATAATTCTGAATTTAACGGCAGGCTAGAATAATCGTGTATCACTTTGGCGCCGCGTAAATTTCAAGATTCCTTCTGTATTAACTAGCTAAGTAATACTCTAGTTAGAAGTCATAAGTACTATAGAAAGTAATAGTAACCTGCCTGATGATTTATAGTCCTAAATATTAGGATAATTATTCCGTTTATCTTAGCCTTTTTCGACTGCTCTTATGAGGGAGGAGAAGTGATTTACGATGGAATTCCCAGAACGTGATTTGTATAGCGATTTAATAAACGTTTTGAATTTTGAAGGCTTTATCTATATCGGCCATTCTTATTGTGAGATAAGACAGTGTTTTGTTAATTCTTACAAATTGATCAAACATAAGTGAAGTGAAGCAAGAGAGATCTTCAATCACATAAGATGCATCGATGCTTTGGAAATAAACCAATGTAATCAATAGGAAATCATAGCGTCTGCAAATATACTGCAATGGTATACAATATTGGATTAATATTGAATAGAAGCAAAATCACTCAATATGATTTAATGCAGGTGATGTTCCAGTCCCCTCCGGTTAGCATCAATTCATTTTAATCCGGTCGCTTTCTTTTCACGCCCCAAATTCTCTAATTCTACTATATTTGCTAAGTTAATCACTAGTTTATGAGGTTTATACTCAAAATTGAAAATAAATTTAAACAAGTAATTTCATTTTTTGATTGAATGACTTTGTTACAAACTACTATGAATTAACTTTACATCAAATAGAATATTGTCAAGAGTAATTAAAATATACCTCATACTTATAGATAGCAGGAAGCTGCAAAGTCACTCTTGATATAGATATTTACTAATTAAATGAAATACCAGCTTACTCTACCATAAATACTTCAGGGAAGCGATTTTAATAGATTTTAAGTACCGGTACTTTAACATTCCAGATTGACAATAAAGTATGAAAAATTGCACTTTTATATAAGACTGGCGATGCTTATTGTCAAGCAGTGACAGTATTATAGTGGTAGATGGGATCTTAGATACGGCTTATTTTACGATACGATAAGCAAATCAAAATGCCGATTAATATTTCCTTATTTTATAATAATGTATATAATACCTTGTAAAATAATGAAGAAGAAAAGATGGCGACATGATGGTTTGGCAGGGTAAAACTTAAAGACACTATCACTCTCTAGGTATTTTCTACAGTAAAATAATACTAGTTACATACTAAAAGCTATAAAGGACTCTACTTTTAGTCCTTTACTACATAAATTTCATATCCAAAACTCTTAATATTGTATTCTTGTACTAATTTATCAATAAAAGACAGGATATCATTGTCAATCTACAAATTTAAGGCATAAATCAATTGCACTTTACCGAATGTAGAGAAATACATCAATAGTTTTGCCTTACCCGAAGTTATACTGAAATAAAAAGCGTATTCATGGCCTATCTAAAGTTGCTCATCGAAATACCAGCAGTTAGCATTATATAAAAGAATAATTTGCACAAATTCAAATGAGAAAAGATTATCCTGTAACTTCCTTTGCGTTTAATAACGTATAATATATTTTTTTATTAATTTGAACGCTGCGATCTTCAACAATCTTTATAGCTTATCAGTATTTATTTTAATGAAAGGCCGTTATTTCGTCAATTTTAGAATTTGATGCTTTCATTGTAAGGGGATGGTATTAAAAAATCATAAAGCAGCACTCTTAAGAAATTTCATAATGCCAATTAAATTTCTACATCGAAATCACTGTTACTTAATATTTAATATTAAGTAAAGTCTTTTAATTTGCAAAAGAACTATAAAGTTAACACAACTTACTAAAAGTGCAATAAGTGGTAACTAAGCAACCAGAAACAGTATGAGTAATATGCAAATAAATTAATCCTATAAAAATGCAATTGTTGACTTAGATAAAACTTAATTGTTTTATGGACATTTCTTTCTACTTGATAATAGTAAAAAAAACAAGTACGTCATTCTAACTAAATTTTATATCCATTGCCATAAAGGCGTAAATTATGCTAAGGAATTAATTGAAAGTAGTAATATTAGTACTGCTAACATAAGCAACGGATACAATAAATTTAGTTATGGCGTTGTTTTCGGTGACCTTACCTAGCTTAAATGTAATACAATATTATAAGCGAATAATAACAATTATCTATTATATTTAGAAGATCAAACAATGTTAATTATACTTTTTACTGCACTGTTATTGTAAAGCGACAATATAATCTACGTTATTTAATGTATAGCAAATCAGGAAGTACGCAGACTTTGACATCATTTCAGCTTTTGTGTAAAATAACGATCCCTACTGCGATTTCTCTGGATAAAAGTAGCTAAAATCTAACTCTCGATGTTTTAGGCTAATTTGATAAATCGTAATTTGTTTACTGCGATAATTTCCTTGAGAAATTGAAGAAATCAATATGTCGAAGGTTAACGTTAGAGTCTGGAATCGAAATAAAATTCGATCACAAACTGATATCGGTAATAAAGTTATGCCGGAAGAACTGATGGGATCTTATATTAGCCAGTCTAAATTAGTAGACGAGGACACTGCTCGTGATCTTTTTTGGGTAAAATGATTTTTATAATTTATATCGAAAACGATAAGTACGATCTTTAATTATGTCCATTAAGCTTAATTTGCGAGCAAGTACTCAATTTTACTTATTGTGGTACAACACCTAGGCGGCTAAATCAGGAGATGTGGAAGCTCTAGATCGCTATTTTAGCAAAGCTATATTACATAATGGCTTTGAATGCAATCGCTTAGATCGACATGAGATGTCTCCTCTACACTATGCTGCAAAATACAATCGTGTAGAAATAATCAAGAGTTTACTTAAATATGGTGCTGGTAAGTTTGAACGAACTAGCATGTAACCGGTTTCTCTGTAGCTTAAATCTTTTATCTGAAATTATGAAGATCAACTTTATTATAGATCATTAAGCTTATAAAGCACTTAGATGAACACCATAATAATTAATCATATTTAACTGTCTATAATAGTTATAGGAAGTCACATCACTAGAAGTAAACAATTTCAGTGACAATTTTTAACCTAATAACTGTCATAATTGCTATCATAAGTCATAGCATTATACTAAGAAATCACATTACCGAAAATAACTAGTTTCAGCAACTATCTCAAGTTAACTACTGTCATAATTCATAATTACTGCCATAATTCATGGTACGGTATTAGAAAATCATATCGCCGAAAATAAACAGTTTCAGCAACTATTTTAATTTAGCTACAGTCATAATTACCGTCACAATTCATAGCACGGTATTAGGAAATCACACCACCGAAAATAAACAGTTTCTGCAACAATCTTAAGTTAACTACAGTCATCATCACTGTCATATTTTATGATATAATACTAGGAAATCATATCCGAGAAAGTAAACAGTTTCAGCGATAATTTTAAATCAACTGCTGTCATAATTACTGTCATAATTCATAGTACGGTACTAGAAAATCATATAGCAGAAAATGAACAATTTCAGCTATAATTCTAAGTTAACTATGTCATATTTACTATCGTAATTCATAGTACGGTACGAGCAAATCATATCACAGAAAGTAAACAGTTTCAGTAACAGTTTTAAGTTGACTACTGTTATAATTGTGGTCATAATTCATAGTACAGTTCTCGGAGACGTGTTCGAGGCCTAGCATAGGACTTAGTTTGTTAGCATCAAATGATTGACTTTGACTAACTACCGTAGTAATCGAAAATATATATACTAACACAGTTAATAAAAGGGTTGAAATTAACCGAAAGACTAGCGTATTTATCAATCAAATTTGGAGACAGAGCTATGTGTGATGTATACCGATCAGGAGATTCGAAATTTTAGAAAAATAATGGCTTTATTGAATCTTATACAAAGATTACTACACACAGCTCTACTCTAGCCGAATACTACATATAGTCATCTGTACTCTAGCATAGAGTCTATACCACTACAGGCTATAGTTATGGCTACCAAATATCTCTTAGGATAAATATCTACAGTGCATTATACTAAACATGGCTAACAGTCTACAGTCACAATACTAAGTTACATTACACTATGCTACAAAGTAGATAGAAAAAATTAATGCCTAATAGGAATATACGATTCAATAAATTACTCTAATTTTTTAGTCTGTCAGCCATGAAATAAAAGCATATACAAAATATTTTGTATTTACATTTGTATCTACATTTTTAGATATCGACTGCATTGGACATGATGATGAAACGCCCATATTTATTGCTGCCAAATATAACTCTATCGAGGCACTTCGCCTTTTAATCGAACGTTATGGCTCGACAAGTCTAACAAATACTAATGGCGAGGGCCCATTACATACTGCCTGTCGGCATGGCAAAATGCAAGCTTGTCAAGTTCGTTAATCTATAATTTCTATATATTATGTCTTGTCAAATATCAATCTCTATACCTTGGTAAGACTTTCTTTATAAGTTGTGTTTATACTGTATTTAATAAACGTAATACAACGCATATCTTATTAAAATTTACACAATTATCATATCAATTAATTGATCGTATAGCTAAGTAATCATTGTATATATATTAATTAAATTAGGTTTTATTGGAATTCAGTCCACTATTAATCAATAATGTTGATAAGGATAAAATGTCAGCTCTCCATCTGGCTTGCATGAAAGGAAAAAGTGAAATATGTGCCTTACTGGTAAGTCAATAGACTAGTTGGAATTTATGACCGGACTTTTTATTATAATAATTTTTTGTAACAAATTCATATTAGTCATATTTTTTAAGTGAATACTTAACGTTACGGTATCGGATATTCCTTCTTGTATCAATAATGGATACTATTCTTTTTTGTATGTTTATCTTGCAGTTGGAAAAAGGGGCCACACTTAATGAAAAAGCCATTGATGGTAGTATGCCGATTCACTATGCAGCAGCAAAGGGCTCAGTAGAACTTATCAATATACTATTGGATCATTCCAATTATAACTTTCCAGAGATCGAGCAAATAAACGCTTCAGATAACGATCAGCAAACTCCCTTACATCGAGCGGCTCAAAAAGGCCGTATTGAAGTTAGTGCATATAAGTATAATTATCTAAAATTTATTTAATGATAGAATATTATTAATTCCTTTCTCTTTAAACAGGCTATCAAGCTATGCTTGAAAATCGGAAGCGACATTCATGCAGCACAAGTACGCTATATAGCTAGTAATCAGACTAAGGG